AGCGTCGAGCCCTCGTCGTAGGTCGCGCAGCGCCGGGGCATGCGTTCGACGAAGAACTGGCCCCACTCGCGGTGCGCCTCGCCGAGCGTGAGGTTGATGAGCCGCACGGCCTTCTGGGCTCGCGCGGAGGCGAGCACCGCGAGGATGCCGAGCAGCCCCGCCATCGCGAAATTGAATTTTTTATTGAAGGGGGCAGCATGATGGAGGCAGCGCTGCTGCTCCTCCTGGGCCTCGCGGTCGCAGCCGCGTCGACGTGCGCGGACGAGCCGCTCTGGGTCGACGGCGTCGCGACGTCCTGCGCGGACGCGGCGCTGGACTGCGGCGCCTGGTTCTGCCCCACGTGCCCGTACGCCCACGCCTGCGACAGACACTGCGGCTACTGCGGCGGCTGCGGCGTCGGCGAGGTCGAGGACTGCGCCGGCGTCTGCCTCGCGGCCGAGGACTGCGCGCTCGCGGACTACGGCTACGCGACCTGCGACGACTGGCGCGGCAGCGGCTGCTGCGAGGCGGGCGGGCTCGTGTCGGACAACGGCTTCGCGCCGCGCTTCGACTGCGCCGAGTTCGGCTGCGACGGCGGCGACTGCGAGAGTTGCGAGGGAGAAGACACGACAGTTATCGGCGGCGCGCCGCGCGCGCCCTGGTGCCTGCTGCTGACGGCGACGGTGTGTCCCGCGAGAGACATGACGCACACGGCGCGGCGCGATCCCGCGCTGCGCCGCGGCGACTACGAGCGCGCGCTGGCGCGCTGGGCCAACGGCACGTCGTTGCCCGTGGTGCTCGTGGAGAACAGCGGCGCGCACCTCGGGAGCCTCCGGGACGCGCACCGCGGCGCGACGTTCGTGTCGTTCGTCGCAGGGCGGGAAACGGGTGATTCAACGTCGCTTCAACGTGAGTTTCCCGCGCGCGCGCGTCCAGAAAAGCATCCACGCTTCGCGAGCACTCCGAGAGATCATCGCCCGTCCAAAAATTAGCCGAAACGAGTGGAAAACGACCGAGATATGAGCTTCCGAAGTTGGGAATTTCGCACCCTTTTCCTGCCCAGGTTCGTCGACGGCACCGTCGACGCGGCCAAGGGCAAGGGCCACGCCGAGGCGCGGGCCATCCGGCGGGCGCTGGACTCGGGCATTTTGGATGGCTGCGAGCGCGTGGTGAAGGTCACGGGGCGCTACTTCCTGGAGGGGCTCGACGCGGCGCTAGAAGCCGTGGACCCGGCGGCGGCGCTCGTCGTCCAGTCGGCGCCGTCGCCCTGGCAGATGGCCGACGGCGTGCTGCGGAGCGAGGTCGTCGGCTTCCGCAACGAGGCCGGCCTCTTCGACGGCGTCTTCGGCGGCCAGGACGAGGCGCGCGGCGCGCCCATGGAGCGCGTGCTCTTCGTCGCGGCGAACGCGCTCCGCGACGCGGGGTTGGTCGTGGCGGAGCTGCCCCGCCTGGCCGTGCCGGAGACGATCAACGCGGAGCACAAGCAGGTGATCACGGAGCTGTAACACGCGAGGTATTTTTTAGGCGCCTAACTAGTGACCTACTTGCACCAATGTTGCCGCGTCGCTGCTAAGCTCGCTCATCAGCTCGCCCCACACCCAAACCTCTCGGACGATTAGCCTCAATATGGCCTTCGCGCCGCGCCACAGGCCGTATGAGGCCGCCTGTGACCCCCGCGCCGCTTCCGTCCGCGTCTACTAGTCCCTGCGCGGTCGCGTGCCACTTTTGAGCGCTGGAAACGGCGTGCGCGCGACGACGCACACGGCCTCGGAAACCGCCTGCGGGAGCGGTCGAGCAGCGGGCGGCGCTGGACGCGT